CCTTTGATTACGTCTGTTTCTCAATTTTGTATGATAACAGAGCAGGTGAGGTGTACTCTAGGGAAAGGGCGGGAGGCAGCCGACCTTCCCTCCACTTTCCCACATCAAATAGATCCAACTACCTGGTCGATATGACCAAGAAGCCTGCTGTCAACTTTCGAAATTTGAACTCTGTGATCCTGATGCAGAGCATTTTCCTCTCCCGCCTCCTTCATTATCGCGCACAAATTGAGTCAGCCGACACGTGACTCTCAATGGCGGGAAAATTGAGTCACGTGATCGTGTTGGGCCAATCACGCGCCATTCATCAGTAATTACGTCACTATGACACGTGCTACGTCAAAAATGAAATGGAAATATCTATGGGACTCTTGTCTACTCAGCAGTCGTCGTTTTGCCAAGGTTGAGTTGTCAATATTTTGTGTGAATAGAAGCTGAATGACGTTCTAAATATCCCGAGCTCGCCGCTAATATTAAGTTTTATGAAAAAACGTAATGCAGTTCGTTGTTTGAACAATTAACCTGGTCATCAAACACACGCTAAAGATAAATCAAGCAGGCTGAATGTGAGGTATAAGGCAGTGTTTGTAAAATTGATCTTGATGGATGTTTTTGACGTTGACCTGCTATATAATTCACAAACCGGAAAGCGTATAGGTACTAAGACGTCCATAAAGACCTGACTTTTTCCAGTTTGAGGGATAAAGGGAGTTATGTCGTCACCTCAGCATCGCGTCCTATTTGGGCAAAGTTTTGGATCGAATTGTACTTTTTTTTCTTCCTGCTTGGAAATTAAATTTTTCTATACTGTGTGTGAATTCGCCACATATTCATGGATCATTTCATTATTACGGGAACTTTGGGATCATTGTTACCGATATGACACCTGATGTCATTCGTATTTTCTTGTTTATAATTAATTGTATTGCTTACATATGGCACCGCCGTTTAAGAAGCTATGATTAGATATTCCTCTATCCATTCACTCCATGACTAATAACTTTGAAATTCACGCCAGCATCGTGAACTCAGTATAAACTTAACCTGTCTACAGACTGAGAACTGCACCTCGGCGAGGCAAGATCTTCTCTGCTCCCAAGGTACTACGTGAACCTGACGATGAGGCTGACTTGTGACCAGGCGAAGGTCGTAAGACTGTATTCAGTCATATGCCCTTCGCGCAAGCAACTAAACCTCCTTGTCCTAAGGAAGTTTTTGGACTCCTAAGGAATCAGGGGGGTGACAGAGGTCGTCCGCAGACCAGTGGGTGGCCTTATCGTCACCTTCGCGGAATGGGGACAGGCCCAACAAATAGCCAACATAACAGAAATTAACGGGATCAAGATACTAGTGGAAGCTCGCACAGAGGACAACTTGGTGTTGGGAGTCCTCTCCCACACCGAGATAGAACACCTTGAAAAAGAAGAACTGGCCGAGCTGATCAGAGACCAGTTCTCAATAGTACGGAAGCTGACCAGCGTAACTGCACTGGTTAGTTACCCAAAGAATCTACCAAGCACCGTATTGCTGGGATGGGAGAACATCCCAGTAAGACCGTATGAAAGAAGACCAACAAGGTGTTACAAATGCCAGAGGTATGGCCATCTGGCGGGGAAGTGTCGAGCTATGGAGGTATGTTGCAGTTGCCGGACACCCGGGCACCAACACACCAACTGCTCGGCGGCCGCCAAGAAATGCGCAGCTTGTGGTGGCCCTCACTCCTCCTCCGACCGGGAGTGTCCCAAGTGGAGGGAGGAGTGTAGGGTGGCTAAGCTGCGAAGCAAGAAAAAACTGAGCTTCAAGGAGGCTCTCTTTGTAGTGAAGAACGAAGAAAAGAAGAATCAAGACCCCAACAAGACCACAGAACAGAAAAATCAAGACCCCAAGAAGACCACAGAAAAGAAGCCAGAATTAAACAAGACCGAAGAAAAGGCAAACAAGACAAATTTAGTAACATTAAAATCATCAGTGTTTTTAGACTTTTACGAGAATATACCAGAACAAGAGCAAGAAGAAGAATGGAAAATGAAAAGCATAAAGAACAAAAGGAAGAAGTCCAAAGAAAACGACTCAGGAAAAAACAGCTTCGGCCGAAATAGCCTAAGGCGAAGTGGCCAGTTATCCCCAAAACAAGGACAAACCTGTCTTGATAGTTTTAATTCACTGCAGCGTAGTCACTTTGCCTTCTTGTACGTCGTGTGGTACAGCTTGCCTCTAGCACTGTGACACAGGTTTCATACCCCATTAGGTTTTATGTGCCAAGGGTGTTGTCCACTTTGTCTCAGCTTATAATAGTTTGTCATCGGGTATTCCTATAGTTTCTTCCTGTACCATACTAACACTGGACCGACGTGGCATGGCCCTCACTGGACCTATAGCAAGACCAGTTAGTCATAAATGGTAGAAATATCCAATACTATATACAGTACTGTAGATATTTGACTTTTTCAACCAACATTTATATGACAGTATTATGACTTAAGAATCTGTCGTCTGTTGCCTGAAGTTTATTGTAATCAGGGTCTACTATCTTTAATTTTCTTTGACAGATTTTAAGAAAATGGTACAATTATGAAAATATAGTTCACATTCGATTGTGGTCCACATAGGCGAAGAGCATGGCCGAAGGTTATGAGTGCAGGTCACCCTACACAAGGAAATTCCCACAACTATTGATCGACCACTGAGAAATTTTCACTGTGCAGTATAAGAGATCACTTTCTCCAACGACCACTTTATTTCCGACCATCTTACTCCACTGACCACACAAGGTCAAAAATTTGTCGAAGCTTTATCATGTCCTGCTTGACGGAGTACATTGATATTTTTGTAAGAGCACAGCAAAAATCTCGTACAAAACAGTTTTCAAGTTTGTTTTAAATAAGGGTTGAAGCTGTGAATATTATTGTCACAGGTTTTCCAAATAATCACCTGAACACTGAGTTATCTCGAATTTGGTGATGTGCAATGCCTAATTTTGAAATCTATACAATATTTTTCATTCTCTTCAGAGTTTCTTTTCGTTCTTCCTTTTCCTTTATCTGGCACTGTACTCTCTTCTCTAGTCACACAGAGACGACAGCAGGTAGATAGTGGCAAGCGACAGAATCTGATTGGCTTATTCGCTAACCAATGAGAACATAATCACCGTTCAAAACCAACCTGGTGCAGGTGAGAGGGAAGTATGGAATTTTGCATTTACAAATATTTCGTTCACAAGAAGTGAAATGTCACCATCTCTCGCAATTTGTTCCTTGGTAATATTACTTAAGTAATATCTGATATTACCCATATCATTTAGGTAATACTGTAAAACCAATGAGTTTAGAACCTAGGAATTTCGAACTATCATTCTGTGTTTACAGTGTTCAAGGCGAGTTGTAACTTTGTCCATTTTGTCGCGATCGCGGCTCTTATTGGTGAGCAAATCTGCCAAATAGAAGCCGTCGCTCGCCATTGGTAACGAGTTGTTTGTGCATACGGCAACAGGGTATCAGTTTAACCTTCGGACTTGCTATTACAGTACTTCTATCTTTCTTATATATTAATAAACTCCATTTCTATTACGTATACTATATCTGATTGGTCGTCACACGTCTAGCCCGCTCACAAACCAAACTTCTGTAATTTTTCATCTTATTCTTTAAATATAAAATCACAGAGGCAACAACTTCCCATTTATTTTACGTTTACTCCCAGAAGACTGTTGGACGCGAGGGATGACATAATAGCGGACAATAGAGCTATGGGAGTGTGGGAGCCGGGCGTCTGTACTGATGATGTGCCGCTCGGTGGGTCTTTTGAAAATCACTCGAGTAAAGTCTCAGTTAAAGAAGATGAAACTGCTTATAATAATAATTACTACTAATAACACGGTAGCAAATTAATAATACAATCCATTAATATTCATGCACAAAATTTTGTTATTATTTATTATTACTGTATTACTCTCAACGTTATAAAAAAAGGATATTTGTTATAATTAATTCTGAGTTCTGATAACGTAGTATTGTTTTATTTTCCGCAAAACCTGTCATCGGTCAGGATAGATGACGCGCGGCCAAGAGTGTTGGTGGCAAGCACTGGTTTGGTAATAGAGTTGTGGATATGTGGAATAGGCTACCGAGTGCTATAGTAGGATCGGGGACGCTAGGGAGCTTCAAGACGAAGTTGGATAGGCACATGGAAGTGCTGGGATGGGTGTGAAAGGGATCTGCCCTGTATGGGCCAGTCGGCCTCCTGCAGTATCCCACTTTCTTATGTTCTTATGTTCTTATGTTCTTATACTGTACGTATACTGTATCAAGTACCAGCAGCTAGTCTCGCCCTCTGCCGAGTAAGCAAGTGCAGAATTTTTTAACCGCTGCTTTACTCAGTCATAATGGAAATCATAGACTAGGTTTTGCTACAATAGTTCATGGAATTGAACATACTGTACTGTAATGCGAACTTTATTTTCGCCATTCAGTCAGAGAACCGTCCTCATATCTGAGGGTTGGCGACCACAGGCCTCCACTCTAAACGTTCTCGGGCTGTTTTCACCATTGAATAATGATAAAAAAATGCAAAAAATAGTTTATAGTTTAAGTTCTAATTAATAATAGTAATAATATTGCAGACGTATGCTTTATTACACTGTAATTTTTGTATTTTCCATATTAGAATAATAAAAATATTTTTGGATTATATGATTATTTCCACATTTCCAATTATGCAATAATTTTGTTTGTAATTGCCCTGTTTATGTTTTGTTTATAGTATGTTTCTTTGTTTAGCTTGGCGGCCACCATACAGCAGTCGTAGTTCAAGAGCTGTTGGAGACAGTGTAGTGGTTGGTCTCCAATAACTTCCTCTGACAAGTTGGATAATGTTTCCTTCAGTGGGTGTTTGTTCAGTGGCAGATTGTCCGGTAGTGTTTTATGTAGCAAGTATAATGTTTCATGAGAATTAGTCCATATACCATAATTTCCTTAATCACTGCATAAGTTATCTTTCCCTACCTTGCTGGTGCTTCTTGGAGGACATGTGCTTCTTCTGCCGCGCCCGAGAATTCTGGAACCATACTTGGGTGACCCTTTTGCTCAAGCCCGTCAGCTGTGCGATACGTTCCAGATCCTGACTGTCGGGGTTGGAATCGATCTGGAAATTCGCCTGTAGGACCTGAAGCTGCTCGTCCGTGAAAGTCGTCCGTACTCGTTTGCTCTTGCGTTGGCTTCCCTCTCCGTCCGTGTTCTCTGGAACGAGAAGCCCAGCTCGCTAACGTTACCAACCAATAACTGCAAAGATGTCTACTGAAAGTATGAATTTCAAATCACGTAAATAATTATACAACTAAGGCGCTTACACATTTTCTTATCATAATGCGTACAGTACACCTAAAATATCTAAACAAGGTTTCACTCTAAAATTCTGTAAAAATATTTATATCATCTGTTTGTTTATATATTCATAGAGAAACACTATACAGTACAGTATTTGCATTCATCTTCCAGAGCCAAGATGAGGCATCATGATAATGTGCCAAGCATCCAGCAGTGAACGCTCATACAATCAAAAAACTTTCAATGGTGCAAAACATTTTCTTCAAGGGCGTCAATGACAAAGACAAGTTTCTAAAATATATATATATAATGAAAAACGATGTTAGGGATTTTTTATTATAACTTTTCATGGTCGGGCGAATACTAACAACAATTTTAAGACATACGCATCAGTTTGTGTGGTCAACTTTAAAGTAGGAGGAGATTTTAGGAGGTAATTTATGGAGAACTATTGTAAACATGAGACCTTAATATAGTCGTTGATAGATATGAGACTACAGCACTTGAGATCATAAGCAAGAGTGACGACAGATAAGTTAAAACAACAAGTGAAGTTAGATATATTATAATATAGTCTAAGGGATGCGACAGCAGGGTTAACTATAGGGATATACAATATTTGATCTTACACTTGAAACTTGGTTCTTTGGCTCCTTTAACCTCCTGTTGGTACAGAAGAGTTAGGGGATGCTGTCTCGAGTTGACTTGTGGAAAGTTGATTCTCTATAATCGTTTAGTCAAGTAGGAAACCATTGGATATCGTTGAAAACTTGGTATGAAAGGGTCTTGTGGCCTTGCTTCATGGTTTAGGTGTGTACTTATTAGAGTTTCCCTGATTGCATGCCAACAATTTAAAAATACATTTTCTTCAATAATGATGTACACCGTTTTGTCCACTTAGTTAAAACAGACAAACGGAACAGCATGAAGTATATAAAAAAGCCACAACGGCGCTATAATGGTTGCTACTCGTGTTCGAGGACGGCTGCCCTATAGGCCACCTTGGCGGGAATTTGTTGAAGGTGTAGAGGCTGTCGCCAGCACAACAACCACACCTTAAGTTAACGAGTTGCTTGACCCAGTGTCAAGAAAGAGTCCGAGAAGACCGGACAACTCGCCAACTGCACTGGCTAACCATTACCCCGGAACACGACCCGTAAATCGATTAACATCCAGGTTCCCAATTGTTGTTGTGCTGGGTATAGACAGAGGCAAATAGCGTAAAAAGAAACGTGCCCATAATCTCATCCTGCCCGGGGATCGAAGCCGGGACTACTCACTTGCGAGGAAAGCATGCTGATCATTACACCACAGGTCGCCACAGAACAGTCCTATAAAGCCCTAGCTGTTGAGGAAGAGGCATCGATCGCCGTCCCAGGAAATAGAAAGGAAGGGGAGCAAAAGTTAGGTGCGTAGGTGGGAGTGAAGACGAGGAGCTCCAGCCCCTGTAGGCCAGGGATCAATAATACGTGTGAAGGTGTGAGGGGCGAGGGGAGGAATACACCATACTGTCTGTCAGGTTGGTGCAGTGTGTTGGTGTAGGGGCATCCCTCTGATACGGGAGGGTCAAGTGGCGGTTGGAGGCGAAAAGGGCAGGGAAGGGGGGCAATTCCCTATATCCTGGAACTGAAGGACTGTTATTTCATGAATACTGCGAGTAAAACTAATACGGAGGAAACAACAACATCGCATTCATGACAAAAGTATACCGGACAGGAGAAAAAATTATCTGTAAAGTTGTTTTACTTTAGTTCTCAGCGAATCTTGTGATTATTTATCCCTTAAAAAGTATCTGGTTCAGCCTGGGTACGAAACGAGAAAAAAAGGAAAGTATATGCAAGGAGATTACGATTTCTTGAGTTAAAGTTTTCTTTGTTTCATAGAAGCTCAATACATAGTTTCGACGTCATCGTCTAGTGTAATATTATCACTAAGAAGTCTTACATCTGTTACAATTTGAGAGATTCCATGAAAGGAAGATGAGAGCAGCTACTCGTTATTCATAGAGTTGATTTTATGAACAGCAGGTTGTGGATCTGTGAAGGGGAGGTGAGAGCACCGCTGGGAAATCTGCTAGCAAACCGAAATTTAAGATAGCTGAAGATGTAGCCCTTGCCTAGTTCAACTAGAGACGGGTCTAGTTCTCTGTTTCTGTACATCTGTCCCTGGCTCCCACATGCTTCGATACTCACCGTCATTGCTGGTAGCGCCACCCTCGATGGATTCTAGGTAGTGTTGTTTACAGAGGACACGGTTGTCGTGTAGAGCAAACTCTTCACCTGTGCTGAGTTGCCGCTTGCAGGCGTCACACGCGAAGCAGGCGAGATGGTAGACACGGTCCCGCGCTCGCCGCACCCAGTCAGCTGCACCAATGCTGCGGCAACATTTAGCGCACCGCGCACCGAAGTTTCTGCCGCAGAGAAGAAGTAACTTAGTAGGGCAACTAATATTTCTGATGAGGAGAAATGGAACACTGTAAGACATGGATACACAACAGTAGAGACATAAACGTAGGAGGCGGGAGGGGGATGGGGCAGGGTGGGGGGGCAAAAGCCCCTCCAAACGTTAATAAGGACAAATTTTTCGAGGCAGAAATCTCAAGAAAGTTCGGAAAAAGTCCAGTAAACAATAAATTATAAATTACTACCTATATTATTTACTTCTGTTAATATTACGTTCTCATTTCATTAGTTTAAATTTTCCAAACAAGTAAAAAAAATGAATTCAAATTTTTTTATAACTAACAAAATGTTTAGATTTTTAATAAATATAATGCAAAAAATATAAATCTAAATTAAATATTTGTTTTTAATAAACTAACAACAAATTTAAAGAAGCGAATGTACTTGGTGTCGAAACGTTTCACTGTAGCAGCTTCTACACTGGAGCAGGAGAAACAGCTGCCAAGACTGCCTTCAGCTGGCAAATGGTGTCTGGTAAACAAGCCATGCCCGGCATAGATGATTTTTATTTTTCGGGGTTTGAGGTTGATTTTCACTTTGTATTTGTAGTGTATATTGATGATAAATCACGAAGGAATCTGAAGGTAAGGTACTGCATTATCTGCATATTGACTGGTGCTAGTTTACGATGAAAATTGAAGAGGTAGGCTATCAACATCAAAGGAACTTGTGTGATGAACCTAAATTTTGCCGTCCAGACCACTAGCTTAAGCAGCAATTCTTGATCTTGATCAGAAGGAATGAGAACACATTTCCAAACCATTATTAGAAGGATTTCCACTTAAATTTCAGTATTAGATAACTGTGATGAGTGTACAAAAACAGGTGACATAGCCGTACATGTTATTATAGCCAAAAGATTGCACCTTTTTCATTACTACATATGTAAAAAAATTACGTAGCATAAACTGCTGCAGAAGGTAGTTCTTTATGCTATACCAAGCATGTGGTAGAGAGAGAAATGAATGGAAAACACCTAATTTTTATGCTTATTCATATTACTTATTTTTATGCTTATTCGTATTACAGTATAGTATTTGGGCATTTTGAAGCTTTTTCAGATCCTGACATGATAACAACAGCAAGACCTGACCAGTCATGCAAACGACCTTACCACCATCGCGTTACATGCACTGAGTGTGGTAAAGAAAGTGATTATGACTACAAGAAAAACATGCAAAGCTCCGGTACCAGGGAAAGAAAGTAAAGTTCATTGCCTTACACGATAAAACACAAAGTCTACTGAGAGAATTCTCATTACAGCAACCTACTTTTGATTCAGCTGTTGTGCATCGAAGTGGCAATATCACTGGCCAAAATGATGATTCAAGTTCTCAAACACGTACCAATGATATTGGTGAGCTGTCGCTCTTTGATTTACCAGGAACTAGTACAGCCACTGACAGTCCAACAAATGATGCTGCTTCATCGCCAAAATTTGACTTGGGCGTGTCTAAGGATAAGAGTGATAATTCAGCGCTTTCATGTTGTGAGAACAGAGATGAATCTGATGAGACTGATGATGAAGAGGATGAATGGGCAGCCTCCCCACTATCTCCAGCAAAAAAAAAAAAAATTCCAGACTCCTTTGAAGCTGCAATCGGGCCAAATCAACCAGTAAGTATAACCCAAAGAAGTTTGGAAAGGAGACTATATTTAGGGATTTCAATCCAGACTTGTACAAAATATATTCTTGGCTGAGTTATGAAATAGAAAAAGGTTATGGTGAATGTTTTCCCTGTAAAACATTCATGAACAATTATGCCTTTTGATTTGAAAATTGGAAGAAGGCTGAACGACTAAAAAAACATTCAAAGTCACAGTCAGTTTCTAGCCATGACAATACGGATTAATTATCGCGCGCACAAAGAGCAGGTGCTGCAAAATCGAGAATATTTAAAAGGCCTCCTCTTCACTGCACAACAGAATATTGCACAACGTGGACACGATGAAAGGAGGAGTCGGCAGATATTTCTGATGTTAACCGAGGAAATTTCCCAGCATTATTGCATCTTCGCTGTAAAGACATATCTTGGATTGCAGACAAACTTAAAATTCAACTCCATGCACATACTCAGCGGACATCACCAGACATTAAAAACGAGTTACTGGACATATAGCAAAACTGGTTATCATAGTGATTACAGCTGAGGCAAGAGAAGGCAACTAAGTCTCCATTATTGTTTATGAAACCTCGGACATTAGTAGAACAGAACAAGTAGAAATGTTTCTAAGAAGTGCATGAAGGCATAACCAAAGAACCATTTGATGGGTTCTATGCAGTTTTCTTCACTGGAGGGAAGGTCTTGCATGAGCTTGTTAAGGACGTTTTGGGAAAATTAAAGTTAGATGACAATTGGTGCAGGCTTTGATGGTGCCTCACACATGAGTGGTGTAACCAGAGGTCTTGCTGCACGAATGAAGGAATGTTCACCAAAGATGATTTATATCCATTGTAATGGACAGTTGCTCAACTTGGCAATTCAATATTCTTTATGTGAGATTGAACCACTCCGTAATGCACTTGGGACTGTTCAGTGTTTATATAACCTTTTGGAAGCAAGTCCTAAACGTCATACCATGTTTACTGATATAGAGATAGATGGTGAGCACTTCATCAGGATGCTTAAATCTCAGAGTGTTACAAGACGGTCTTGTCGTTGGGAAGTAGTTAAAGCAGTGATTGAGCAGATGCCCAGAATTATCAAGGTACTACTGAAATTGTCAGATGATCATGACCCAAAAACTTATGCTGACTGTAACGCTTTGTTGAATGCAATGTGCAGCTTTGATTTTGTGTTTGGCTTGGTATTACCCAAGAAAATACTATTGACTACAAGTACTCTTAGTGCATATTTGCAAGGGAAGAAAATTTATGTGATATCTGCTAGGAAAACAGCAGAATCAGCAATAAGTTTGTTTAGGAACATAAAAAATGAAGAGAGCTTTGATGAAACATGGGAGACAGTGGAGAACATCAGAGACAGCATCAATGAATGCATCAGTGACACATTTTTCATTCAAGGAGGCAAGGGTGCCAAGATTCAAGAAGCCATCTCGAAAACTCCAGGTCTTTGTTGGTGAATCTGTAGGAAGCAGTGCCCCTCCATCACAAAATTAAAAAAAAATCGCTCCCGTGTGACAGCTTATTATCCAAGTCTGGAAAAATTTATCGCTGAAATGAGGTGAAGATTTGATGTGAATGATCAAGATGTTCTCTGTGGACTAGGCGACGTGGTTCTGAATGAAAATACTGAGGAAAAAAGCTTTGATGTGATTGCAAACTACTAGTGTCGACAGAGATATACTGGAAACTGAAAGAAAGTTTACAAAATTTGCTTGACTGACATCAGGGCCACTTGTTCAGAGATGAAGACTGCAACAAGTGTTGTTTCTGCAATGTATCGGAATGAGCTTCATGAAGTGATGCCAGTATTTTACAAAATTGCTTGTACTCTTGCCACAATTCCTGCACCATAATGCTCAGCTGAACATTCTTTCTGTACCTTAAGGAGACTTAAGACTTACTTGCGAAATACAATGAGGTAAGACCGGCTAAGTAGCATTGCCATAATAAATATTGAGCATTCTTTCACAAGCCAGGCAATTAGTTCTTAGATGCAACAGATTATTTACACGTTTGGAAGGAGGAAAGGCAGAAGAAAATATTTCTTCTAGAATGGCCCATGGTATCAATTTCCGACAGTCCTACTGTTACCCAAACTTGTATGTATAAGCTTCAGTTCACTTACCATGTGTTCATAGTGAAAATCATCCTTATTATACTGAATATGTTTTTCTCTTACTTGGATTCAGTATTAGCTGTCTTATTAGACCAAGTTTTGTGTATACTTAAACTCAGTTTAAAATCAATAAATTTTGAATCGTTTTTTTATACACTGTAACAACAATGAATCCTTCTTACTTTCATTTGATAATTTTGATTTCATTAAACTGTTTTAACGAGAAGACGATTTTTACTTTATTCAAACTACTACTACACGAACGATTACATTCAGCTGAAAAGACTTGTACCTGTCACCCATGGTGTTTTTTTTTTCCGGGCAAACTTGCTTGCACCCCAAAAGTTACCAGTTCCATACACCTATGAGTAGAGTTAACATGGATAAAACAATGACTTATGCATGTAGACAGCGTTTAGCATATTGATAGATAAGTGCAGAAAAGGGCCGACATGAATAGAAAATGGTTTACAAAGGCAGATCAAGAAGACCATTCATAAAACCAGAATGAAATATATCAAGAGGTAACAACACTGAGATGACAGTCGCAGGTTAGTGACCTTTATTGATCTACCTTCAAGAAGACTTCATTCATAGCACAAATATTTTATAAAGTTTTATCTAGCAACTATAAATTGGTTTATAAAAGCAACACTGAAAATTTTGATAAGAATGGAATACTGTAATATTTTCTGCCTGTAGTTTCTATCATTATTATACTGTATAAAAGTGGCGGATTACTCGACGGGGAGGGTTTGTGGGTGTTCACTAGCCACTAAACCAGCAGGCCCAACCAGCGGCCTCCCGCCCTCCATAAATTTAATATATTATTTATTTGTTTTTTCAGACGTTGGTATGCAAAGTTTAGTCAGGAATGTGCAATAATTCACCCTACTATTACTGTCAAGATCAATGTGGATTAATGTCAAGATCAACTTGGAATCATCAACCGTGAATAGGCGGTCCAGCGGTATAACAGAACGTGAATTACACAGGTCTTGGACAGAAATCAGAGCTTTTGTCGTTTGCTGGAAATAATGTCAGTGCTGCCATTTTTTTTTTACGGGGATTAGCCCACCCGAGCACAGGCAACTGACCCACATCAGGGCCAGGAGGGAGAAAATGTAATAATAATAATAATAATAATAGTAATAATAATAATAATAATAATAATAATAATAATAATAATAATAATAATAATAATA